TCTTGAGTGTAGTTGGGCTTTATGAAGTCTGTTACGTGTAGTCTGTAGAGATATGCATCTACCAGTGGCCTGAAAATGTAAGTTTTTTATCTGTGTAGCTGTTCTTGTCCTATTTTGTAGGGATAATCTTACAATTTGGCGGTCCTGTCGGGGCGTAGCTATTCTTTCTCGTGGTGTATATGGTCTTCTATGGATAATACCTATGTCTTGAAATCTATTCCACATTCGGTGAATCGTTGGTTGACTTGTTTAAAGCAAGCGGGCTACGTATCTCTGCGAACGTCCTTCTTGTAATAGTATAACGGCTCTTGCTACTTCAATTTCAGTTAGATGCCTTCTTTGTACAATAGGCCTTCCAAGAACATCGTTATTCATAATTTCAAGTCAATTGTTAATGTTACAAAAAATTTAATTGGTGTACAAAGTAAAACTGAATGTATCAGATACTTTTAACTTTTTGCGTATATATTTTTTTTCTCATCTCCTCATAAAAAAGTTTTGTTTTTTATATTGAAAATATGCATTTAGGTGTGCTTGTTATTTGTATAAATTTTAATGGAAAATACGGGGGATAGATTTAGATAATTAATTCAGTGATACCTATTTCGTTGTGACTAGTTTTGAAAAAACAGAATCTATATTCTTCAAATATTTTAAGATTTTCTAGTGAAAATTGGTTAGATTTAGGTTAAAATAATACTATTAACAGTTTTACTTGATTTGGAAAATCTATAGGTAACATACTAATATAATACGATTCTAAATTATTTGTATATAAAATTTTGAATCCAATAAAACATTGCCTTTCGACCATGCTAACATTCTGTAGCATGTCAACTTTATAGATCCTAACGTATTTTGATTTGTGGATGTAAATTCTGTTGTAAATTTTGTTATTTCAATCTTATAACGAGCGAAGGGTGATACACAGTAAACAAAGACATTGTTTTGCAAATGCGAAACACATGCCGTACGTGTGTATATACGTTTGTGTACTTGCTTCACCCCATTTGTTGATAAAATCTTCCAAAGCGTACAGCGGCATTAATTTCATGCAAAACAAACATGCCAAATCAAAGATATTTTTACGTTATGTTACATCGAATTCTATTAAAAAGGAATACGCCCAATAATTCTATGAAAGATACCGAAGTAAATATAATATACAGGCTATAATAATTATTTGGTGTATTTAAGACAAAAAGTAGAGTAATTTAAAAAATGGTCATTATAGCAACTAATACTACAAACTATTACAATGAACCATCTAGACTATTTTGATTAAAAGGCTGAATGGGGTAGAACTACTAAATAAAAATGCTTGTAAAGGCAATACTCTTATTTGAGAGGCATACAAACATTTTAAAAGCAATTAAAGCACTTTTTGTCTTTTGATTCATCAGGTTTCAATTTTTTGCTTATCAACCCTTTCGCAGACACACAAAAAGCTTGCAATATCATCTTAGATTCAGAACAAACTCGTTTAAGCTATATTCCGAATTTGGTTGAAAACCGTAAATATTCGGTCACGTGACTAAAGATTATTACACCGGAAGTAGCAAATTAGACGATATAAAATGCTTTAAAGGGATTTTTTTATTGTTATAATAATTTTTAATTTGTATGATTCGTTGTATATAAGATTTGATATGTCCCGTATTAACAGTAATTTAAACTCGTTTCATCGGCGTCTCATGGTGTCCCCAATCGAACATAATCAGTATCCTCCTAAAAGTTTTTTAACTTATATATAGCATTATAAAATCAATTTCTTAAAGGTAAATATTGAAGTTGATGTCTTTTCAATTAATATATTCTCCCTTTCCATTCTGATTTACAATAATGCTCTTATTTATTAAAAAAATCAGACTTTCTCAATAAACACGCTGTAGAAAAATCCCTCCGGTAACTCTGAACCCTTTAAAATATAAAAATGTAAATTAAAATTGAAGACAAATTCGGCAATTGTATAAAAGTTGTGCATATTTATCAGTGGACTAAAATAGAAAGGGTCCATCCGAAATGTTTATTCAAAAGTTGAATACTTTCAAAATTTAAATTAAATGATGACAGATGAGGACGCTGTATTTTTCGAATTCGAATATTCCTTCGACTGATGCGAAAGAATACTTTAAAAGGGTGAATTTGCATTCACAATATTAACAGTTGACTTTTTGGGTTTTCATTTGATGAATTAGTTATTTCGGTTTGATTCCAAGTGGAAGGACGAATTAACATTTTATTGCCAACCATTAATTGACTTTATTCAGCATTCCGATGTTTCTGATTCATGCCATCGCCATTACGGCCGCAGTACCCTTTAATTAAATTTATTCTAAACCTAGACTTTTGAGTCAGATCTGCAAGACAATTTTTTTTATAGAAATAACTCTTATATTGGGGCAGAATGCACGAGTAATAAAATATTCTGCAAAATATTTGTAAAGTTCAGCACACAAATTTGATCATAAGTATTCTATAATTATGTAAAATCAGATAAGGCTGGAATCTGCGCTTGAACAACTTCACAGCCCACTTTCTTGTTAATTAAAAGCAGTTATTATATTTTCCTTTTTATTTAACTTTCTCGTCTCATGAAGCATTTTTATGCAAACAATTCCCGCGTTTCGACTCTATATTCAAATGAAAGAAAATAAAGAGAAAAAACGACGCTGCTGAAGACACTACATCAAGATTATTTGCGAATGGCCATATATCTGGAGAAGGTATACAGGTATTATGGCGAAACTATTGCTCTAAGATGCATGGCTTCCTCGATTATAATGCGGGCTCTTGTACACAGCGAGCGCGCCGAGAATCAATCATATTTATATCATGCACGAGCTGTTTTTTTCATAGGCGGAGGTTTATATTTATTTTCCGAATGGCTACTAAACTCTACAAGGAGATCACAAATAAAACTGCTTTTTTGGTGTTGGATTCGATACCTGAGGACATTAGTATCTTGTTCTGTTTGAACTCTGTGCTGTTTCCCAGGGCCAATTATTGATAAACAGCAGTGTTAATTAGTAAAGTACGAATTTTTTTACTTGAAACTGAAAAACTGAAAATGCAGGATTATAACTCTGCGGACTAAGGCCTAAAAGCCTAAAAATACTACCTTGAGGTACACCAGATGTAATCTCCAACGGTGTGGAAGCCATATTATCTATTTGAACAATTTGTTTTCGCTGATAAAGATATGATTTTAATAGAGACACAGATGTATTAATAAATCCAAAAAACTTCAACATGACAAATAAAATTTTATGATTTATATTATCTAAAGCATATATAGCCTAACCTAAAACCAGATTGTTTACTAGGTAATATATTGTTGCTTTTCAAAAACCCTCTCATTTGAATTTCTATTACTCTCTCTAATATTTTGGAGAAAACAGGAAATATACTACTTGATCTTAAATCACTGTATTCTTCAGGCAAAGTTACTTTTGGTAAGGACAAAACTTTAGCGTAAATTATGTTCCAATTCACGGAACTTAATTCAGCATTAAAAAGATTAATATCAGATCGTGAAAAGACTGAAAAGTCACGATGGGTTATATTACTTAGCTTTTTTTTCTAAAGCGAACGACTCTATGCAAAGAACAGCTTGATGATATGACAAGCCACGGCCTCTGATATCTAGTACCTCAACACATGTTGTTTGATGGACATCTGACACAAATATAATGTCGATGAGAGTTTTTCTGTGCGGAGTTGGTACATTAACAATTTGTGTTAGTCTGTAGGAATCTAAAAAAATTATACATAGAACACAACCCCTAGTAGAGGTCATAAAATCTATTTAAATATCCCCTGAGACAATGAAAAATTCACAGGATGGTAACAAATTTCTGTTGATATGACATCCATGCGTTACCATTTCGATGATGGCAGATGGCACCACCAATCATCTTTAAGATGCCCCGGTGCGCCACGGCAAATAATAATAATAATAATAATAGCCGTTGCTCAATCGGCTTCAGGGGTTGAAATTCACTCGTAAGGGGAAGAAGTATTATTATGTCTATGTTTTTGTTCATTAAGTAGTCCTACGTTGAGGTATGGAAATCTCAATCTTAATCTTAATTTATTATGAATAAAAAATTTACTAAAAATATGACTTAAATTATATATTACCAATTATTATAATTCCTTTTATCTAATCTTGAGACACTAACTAGAATTATTTAAAATACTCATACTCGTTACTCGATTTTTTTAAGGAGTACTCTCTAAAATTTTCAAAATAACTCATTTACTTCAAGTATTATTCATATAAGTACTTATACTCAGATACTTTTGAGTAAGTACTTTGTGAAGCTACTCATTGTGAAGTACTCCTGAATACTTTAATACAGTATTCTGCCCATATTAACAATTTACTATTAATTAATCATCAGGATCAGATAATTAGTTTTCTGTTCTGCTGAGAGCTGGGAAGAACTAAAATTAATTGTAAAACATGATTTAATAGACATCTTCAACTACTAACAATTATTCTAAAACAGTAACAGTATGACACCTTAGAAATCATCAGCAATAACCAAAAGCCTTTAACCATAAGTTCATCAAATAAAACTAAATATCTATTTATGTTTGAATCATAATAAAAATAACATTGTAAATATAGTAAGAACCCTATTATTTAAGTTTAATTATTTTTCAAAAATACTAGAATTACCTTTTCTTAAAATGTACTACGCTTTAGTTTAGTCCATTCTAGAATAACGTATGGATCCATATGAACAAAATCAAAGTCATACAAAAATATTTTATAAAAATTATATTAAAAAAAAAACAACATACTTACCCATCCGACCAATTATATAAAGAAATAGGCATTCTTGATATAACCTAACAATACTTCCCTGACATAATAAGTAATTTGCCTAAATTTTTTAATCGTAACAAAAATTAGCAAACTGAAAACTGTCAACAAATATACAAAAATGTCGTAGTAATTTTGTATTAATATAAATTTCTTTTTGTTACAGCAAGCCGCCTCACTAGAAAAAGTATTAAAAGAACAACAACAGCAACTAGAACTGGATCGAAGTTGGGATCACGAGAGGGAGAGGGATATCAAAGGCAATGGCAGCTCGAGTCCAATGTCTGACCACCGGACGCAGGAACATTCTCCACCACCTACGTCCGACTCGCAGAAAAATTTATCAGCAACTATTCCCCCCATTCAACAAGTAAGTCATCGCATATTTTTTATTAATCATGTATATTTCTAATGTATTATCATTATTGTTCCAGAATGAAGCAACGAAGATACCTAACGACTACACATATGCTCAATCACAACCTTCTGGACCACCATTAATGTCTTCACCAACATCAAATCTTCACCATATGCAACAGCTACTTCAGCAGCACGTACTCAGCCCTACGCAGCTACAAACTTTAATGAAACAACATTCGATATTACAGCAACAGCAACAACAACATCAGGTACTTTTTTATTTTTATTCTTTATTGTGGCTCAATTTTATAGCTTGTTTTATTGTTTTCAGCAACATCAGTTAGCAGAATTAGGTAAAAAACAAATAGAACAAACAATGCAACAGCTCCAAGAACAACTACAACTTAATATTATCCAACAAACACATATCCTACAAAGTACAGACAAAAAGAAAGCATCAGGTTCAATACAGCAGCTCGCCCTTCAGCAACAGCAGCTGATTCAACAATTGCAGCTAGTCCAAAGGCAGTACGTCGTGCACCAGGGAATGGGAATGCAACCTCTAATGCTGCCACAAAATCAGGGTAAGATTTATTTAGAATATCTTTTAAAAAGAATTTTAAATATTGAAATATGTTTACGTGAAAAAATATTTTATTCGAGTTTAGGCATGAACTGGAGATTGTAGAAATTTATCTACAGAAAAAAACTGTTATGCTTGCTTATATTTATATTTCTATATTTGATTTTCTTGTGAATATACGTGAAAAAAAGATATCAATTTAAAAATTTCCCTATAAGGGACCAAAGCCTATTGAATGTGAAAAAATCTGACTAAAAATGGAGGGTTAAGGGAGGATGTAATATTAAAAAAAAATCCTAAGTCAAAAACGAAACAAGATATCTACTTAAAATTTTAATCAAAAATCAAGCTATATAAGGGAAAGAAGTCCTTTGATTTATATAAAAATCTAAATTAAAATGGAAAGTTGAAATATTAAAAAAATCCTAACCCAAAAAAGGAAAGAATCCCTTTATTTTGAAAAAAATTTGATTTAAAATTGGGGGTTTTAAGGGGTTTGAAATTAAAAAAATCATAAATCAAAAATGAGAAGCGATATCAACATAAAATTTTTAGTAAAAGTCAAGCCCTACTAGGAAATGAAGCCTATTGATTCTGAAAAAAAAAAAATATGAATAAAAATGGAAGTATTGAATCTGAAAAAAAAAATCAAAATAAAATGGGGGATAAAGGGGTTGAAATATTGAAAAAATCCTAACTCAGTAACCAAAAATTATATTAACTTGAAGTGTTTAGCATAAAACAATCTTTATAAAGGGCCAAAGCCTATTAATTTTAAAAAAATATGTTTAAAAATGGGTGGTTGAGGGGGTTAAGGGGAGTTGAAATTAAAAAAAAAATCGTAAATCAAAAACGAAAAGCGATATCAATATGAAATTCTTAGTAAAAATCAAGCTCTATAAGAAGATGAAGCCTTCTGGTTCTGAAAAAAATTGAATTAAAATAAGGGGGGTGTAGGGGATTGATATATTAAAAAAATCTTAACTCAAAAACTAAAAAAAGATGTAAACTTGAAATATTTAACAAAACTCAAGCTTTACAAGAGGACAAAAGCTTTTTGATTTTGAATAAATTCTGAATAAAAATGGGGAGTTTATGGGGGGTTGAAATTAAAAAAATCATAAATCAAAAATGAAAAGTGATATCAACATTAAATTTTTAATAAAAATCAAGCTCTACAAGGGAATGAAGCCTATTGATTCTGAAAAAAAAATCTAAATAAATGTGAAAAGTATAATAATATCTGTATTCTAGTTTTTATAGTCATCTCTTCCAGTCCCTTATTCCCATTTATTAATTTTTCTTAAAATCTAAGGATCACCTGCGAATGCTAAATATTGATATCTTAAATTAGGTCTGATCTACTAATATTTACATCTCTTAGTACTGTTCAAAAAATATATTTTAAACTTTTTTGATACTTTGTTCTTTATTTTCTCCACGCTTTGTATTTTTTGTAGTGTTATTTATATTATATTTATCTACTTTTTACTTATTTTTAATTTTTCTATTGTTTTGTACAGTTCTTTTTTTACTTTGTGGCGTGCTTGCTAGAAGTTGATAAACAGTGTCAGTTTTTCATATTTCTAGAGTATAAATCCACATTGCGTGCTTTCAGTCGGGCCTATTGGTTTATTCTTTATACGTGTTGCTAATATTTTATGTGCTACACATATTTTAAATTACACGACTAAATTCGCAAAAGTATTTTTTCTGAAAACATATTTTTATATAAAATAGGATCGTAAGAAAGTATTTATAGTTAAGGTTATATGAATTTTAAACAAAGTATGAAGATAAACACGGCACAGTGCTTGAAGACCCGATTACCTGTGAAGAAAACCAAATGAAATAGAAACAGTTATTTTGAAGTAATTATTTTTCAAATATATAGATAAATTATTTTAAAAGTAACTCTTTATATAATATACTTTCAATTTGCATGCTATTAAATCAGTCATTTTAATTGCTTTAAAAAATTATTATAAAACAAACCAGAAAAGTCTGTAAATCAACGTTATTTTAGAAGAATTGGCTACAAGGTGTGTTTTTCCAGCGTTTTGGTATGTATATCCTAGTCCTTTCTTGTCCATTGAACTTTCCTTTTTGTATCCTTTAGTGTTAAATGGTTATTTTGTCATTAAAAAAAATTATATAAAAAATATTAAAAATGAATAATAAATAATAAAGTTGTTTTCATGGAAACTCCAGAAATAATCATTTTGAAGGTTACAGTTGAACATTTAATCTTAAATATCTTTATGAGGAAACCACTAATAGTAAAACATAACAATGATTTATGCCAATGGATTCCCCAAAAAAAAATATTTTGAATTTTTAGCAGCTCTTAATTTTGGAACAACCCTATATGTATTTTCATATGTGCTGTTTAATGACAAAAGAAATCATCTTTACCATTAGTAAATAATGAAACACAACGTTTCTTCAGGGTTTGTTTGTTTTTCTTTTGTATGAAAAAATGCTGGAAAACAACAACAACAATCCAAAATTATAAGGTAGAAAACTAGTAATACCCTGTTATTTTAATTAGGAAATAATTTTGTTTACATCGAATACTCGCATCCATTAAAGTTATTAGGTAGTTTATAAATTTTGTTTTAATTTTTCTGCATGATGCTAAATAAATTGTAGATTATTTATTAATTAATGTTTTATTCAACACAGTTATTAAATTAGATGTATTTACAACAATCACTTTACAACATTTTGATTATTAATTTATGCAACAAGATTCATATATATTTAGGTTAGTAAATTATTTTTTTTTCTGTATTAAGATGGATCAAAAATTTGCATGTTGTGTACGTAAAAGTTATTAGACTAAATGCAAGATATTGTGAATATATTTTTAATCTGAAATTTTAACGGTAGCCTATTGTTACTGAAATTTGATTTACATCTAATTAAATATTAAACTATTTTTAGGTAACTAAATAAATAAAATACCATATAGAAGAAACGTTGTGTTGTAATTCCTTCTCGTCTTGGTCTTCCCTTGTTAGTGGTGCCCAAGGCGAGTGCCTATAGCCGGCCCTGTTCACGCGACGGATGGTTCACGTGCGGTTAAAACTATTGGCACTTGCCTTTCCCGCCATCCTCTTTTACTTTATCCTCCAGGACTATTATCCCGTATCCTATCCACCAGAACCAAAGCGCTTCGAGCATGCCTTTGTCGGCCGGTTATCCAACGGTTTTAATCGCACGTGCCAGTGTCGTCATATACGGTTTTTGCCACGAATTTATTAGGAAACAAATAAATACTGATTTTTGCTTTGCACACGTACTATTATCATTAAAAATTTACTGCGGTCTCAAATATATTGGAAATTTACTGCTTGCGAAAATTATGCTGAAAGATATGATATAAGGATTTTTCTTTACTTGCTGACACCCTTACATAATATTTTTGAGACGAGGGAGTTGCTTTTATTTGTGTCTCTTAAGCTAGAAAAGGAGCACACAATTTTGGCGTGTTTCACTATGCTCTGCTCTAGCAGTTTGCTCTAACACAGTAGCCACACAAGCTCAAAAAGACCTTTTGGGTCTTCTTTTTAGACATCTGTATCTGTAACGTGTGGAGAGTGGATTACCCACTTAGACCTTACTAGGCCCATTGTGAATTCTCCTAAGATGATAGGCTAGAAGGTGCCTACAGATTTAATGTAGTTTACAACGTCGTCAAGAGGTGCTTCTCCTATATCGGCCGGTGTTAGCTGATGCTCGCCGAACACAAATCTTCTAATAAATAGCGGATAAGTTTGACCATCTCGTCTTCTTGTTCGCACCCCCTGCAGAGTGCGTATTCTGACAGCCCCATGATATTGAGCTGCTTTCGTACTTGCCTGTGATCAGACATAGATTCTGTCTAGTCATAGTCAAGTATTTGATTGCTGTAGTGTTGTCAAGATAACTTAAAAACTCCCTGGGAACTTTGGAGTATCTTTCCGTCTTTTCTTAAATTTCACAAGGGAATGTTTTTTTAATTAAGTATGTCACTACCGTTGTTAGTCCATTAGAAGGGCCAGGTCCAAAAAATATGTGGTTGGCTGCCTTCTTGGCTAATAAATTAGCAAGACGGTTACCTTCTAATGTGTCGTGACCTTTGATCCATCTTGAGGTGACCATATTGTTGATGGATACTTCGGCCAAAGATTCGTGACATTCTAGTACTAACTCTGAGTAAATTCATGATCTGGTCAGGGTGAGTAGTGCTTGTCTGTTATCTGTATAGATTAGTATGTTTCTGCCAGTGATATTGTTTCTGGTGATTTCATGAGAATCCCCGTGAGCTCAGTTTGAACTACACTGGCACTATTGCTCACAGCCCATTTTAGGTTTAGGTTTAAAGATCTGGAGTGTATTTCATATCCTTACTCTTGTTTTAATTTAGAACCGTCGGTGTAGATATGAGTCATACCTGCCACTTCTGGCTCTTCTATTTATTCTGTTATAACTTTATATGGTCTATGGAAGATATATATTGGTGAGATGGAATCCATGTTCGCTTGAAACAGTGGGAGCGTATAGAGCGCCTCCTGCCAAAAGTCACGTCTCGCCTAACCAGATCCTACATCAGATTCTATCCCAACCGTGCGGAGGCGTGTTATTGATGTAAATATCAAGGGGAGTGAGACTAAGAATGACTTACATAGCTCTGGTTGGTGTGTTGTTCATGGGTCCTGTTATGTTGAGACTTGCTATTCTCTTGGATTTTTGATACCTAGACAACTGCACCGTATGTTAGCATAGGTCTTATGATGGCTGTGTAAGTCCATGTGTGACTCTGGAGGACAAACTCCAGATGTGCCCCACACTTCTGCAGCCAATGTATACTCTTTGACTCTCTTATAAGTTCCATGTTAAATTACTGTCAAAGGTGAGACCTAGGTATTTCACCTCTGTTGTAAAGTTTAGTTTAGTGTTTAGGAACACTGTTTATAATTTTGAAAGCTACTTGCATTTTTTCGCAGAGTATGTTCTCAAAATTCCCTGTTTGCAGAATGACCAGGTCATCTGCATACGCTATTGTGTAGGGACTGTCATTATTGAGGCGGTTGATGAGGACAATGTTCCACACTAGAGATCATAGCATCCCTGCCCTCGCAACCAGCTTCTTATAATCACATCTACTACATTTATGTTTACTGCTCGCTTTTCTTTTTAGACATGTATTATCTAGAATCTGTAGGACCTCGATATGGTCCATAGGTTTGGATTTTTCTTTTGTAATACCATCTACAATAACAATAAATAAAATTTTGTTCTGAAAGATTTGCTCTTTGCTGCACATTCCTAGGTTCCATATAGACAAACTGGTTTTAAAATCTGTTTATATAACAATAACGTATTATACATATACAGAGAGTTTAGATTTTTGTCCCAATGGCCAATGCATTTTTTTATATCTTCAAGTTCTATTCTTTTTTTGCCCTAGTGTTTTCCATTTCAACCGAACATCCAGATTCATTCTCAGGTATTATTACTGTAACATACTTTGGTATTTTCTTATTATTTATAGTTATTGGTAATGATTTGCTCCAATTTTATCTTGTTCTCTACGTCTTGTTCCTTTCAGTTACATTGTTGTATTCTTGTTGGAGTTTATCTATAGTTTCTTTTTTGTCATGTTCCACTGCTAGGATAGCTGTATCGTCAGCATAATCAGCGATCGTTGTTTACATGTTCGAGTTTGTGGTATATCTCAAGTGTACAGCAGATGAAGCACTGATCCAAGCATGATACCTTGTGGTATACCTGCGTTAATATCTTTAATTGTAGAAAATTTTAGACTTACTCCACTAATAATATAAGATTTTAAAATCTAATTACATTGCTTTGGTAACATTTTCTCCAATTTGTTAATTAATCCTTCGTACCAAACCCGGTCGAATTTTTGGTCAATTTTGCAAAAATATTGTTAAACATATTTGCTTTTCTTCGTGGACTTTTACGTCTTTTATGCGGTTAATTTGGTCAATTTTTGAATGCTTGTTCACAATCCCCTACTGATGCTTAGGAATTAGTTTGCTGTGTCGCTTCAACAGTAATTTTTCGATTATTTTAAACACACCTTCATACGACAGTAATTTAAAATACAACCAAACAACAATACAACTCAACTAATTCTTCTTCTTCTTCATGCATTTTCTGTTCTTCCCTTCATTAGGTTCTCCTGAAATTTTCCTTTTACTCATCTAGGTGTATGTCGTTTCCATATAACATATTATTATTACTCTGTCTCATCATGGTCTTAAATAATAATTTTTGATCCTCTTAATGTGTATTTCAATTTACTATATCGTCTTTTGTTTTTATAATTGAATAAAAATCGTGGGTCAATTTTTTTATAATAAAATTATTCAGTGTACTGGCTAACAGAATAACTTTAAGAACTAATTATTACTTTCCATTTCATGAGCAATCATATTTTAATTTTAATGCAGTTTTTAACCAAATTAAATTTTGTCAATAAATTTGTGGCCACAGTGTATAGTAAGCGAACAAACATACGATGTGCAGAGTTAAAGTCAGAATAGTCACCAGCAATGTCTAGAAAAACTTGGAAATGGAATTATTTTTGATACAGGTCTTAACACACGAGAAGTGATGAGTCCATGGAAAGATGTTAGTGATCCACATGTGGCAAACAATAAACCTCCACCGGAATTAAATGGTAAGTAAGAGGGATCTTTGTAAATGTCTTAAAACATCTTTACTGGGTGAAATAAATTAATCAATTTATAACTTTTTTTGAGTGTAGTTTTGTAGAAAATGTTTGGTAACTAATGTACGATTTTACAATAAAATGTATCTACTTTGAAACTTTTACAATTTTTCTTCAAAAGTAACGTTTATTGATAGTGCCTTTTCGAGTTTTGTGCTGACTGTTTTAGTTTAAAAAGTATACAGTAACCAAATCATAATAAGTTTGTTATTTAATCCTTCTTTTATAAAAATATTATGCTGCGTTCAGTTGTTTTATGGTCATAGTAACGTACGAAAGACATTTCAGACCTTACATATGAGTATTACTTTTTAACGTTATTACTGTGAAATTTAAGTACTACACTGTGCAAATACTTTCTTTAGAAACAATATTCATAATTCTTTCTGAAACATAATAAATCCGTTTATACGTGTACAAATGTAAAAATATAGACAACAGGTATTTTGAAATAGTAGTAAAAAGAGTTTTTCGTCTCAAATTATTCTTTTTGTTGTTATAGTGTCGGGTGTAATCGGTATTAACCCATTTCTACATTCTTTTTTTTTTAAACCACTTCAATCTGTTGGCTACAATAGCAGCGATAAAGTATTTTATTTACAATCAATGATTAGGGAATTAAATATGATACGTTTTATGGATAATTTAAATAATTTGTTTCGCGAAATTGTCTGAACTGCACTTTTTGAAAATATCTAAGATTTTCAATAATTCTATTATTAAGTCTTTCTACACTATCTAACGGACACTCCACTAATATATGTTTTACCGATAACGGTATATCTCACACGAAACCCATTATATTGTGGTTCCTTTGTTATGAGGTGTAAATGGGTAGCGCGGGTATGTCCAAGTCGAAATATCGTCCTGATAACTTGGTGAAATCGATTCGTAGATGTGTCATCCCATGGTTGAAGCGATGGTTTAACTTCTAGTAGTTTGGAAGGATATTGTTTCCATACCTAATTCCAAAGTTCTATTATTTTAAGTATGAAAAATGCTTGTAAATCGGCTACTACTGTTTTGGTAATACATAGTTGGTAATTTTCGATCAATAAAAGCCTCTTTTGCTTGTTTATCAACCGTTTCATAACCTGTTATCCCTAGTTTTCTCTCTAATGAACTGTACTATAGGATTTTGAGTATATATCTTAGATACAACATGGATTTAATTAATTTAATTAGTTATAATTGTGTTTTTGCTTCTCTGTACTGTACAAAGCTTCTCGAAAGTAGTTTGAGCTTTTGAATGATGTTATCTATCACAAATGCGGATGCTATACTGTTGATATATTTAGATGCGTCAATATAAATTTGTTGAATATTGGGAAATTATGTTTCGAAAAATATTTTAGATTAGTTGTGGATTTTTCTTTTTTGTTGTGAGAAATTAATTGGATGTTTGAAATTGGTAAGCGTATTAGCCAAGGTGGTGATTTAAGATTATTTGGATGATATAATTCCGATATTTCTTGTAGATGAAAGAATGTGAGAAAGCGTCTGACTTTTTCATAGAAAGAAATGTGTGATTTGCGTTTAGATTTATGGTATTTGAAGGAGAAGAAAGTTTTGCATAAACTTAATTGACTTTTAAAATTTAGAGGCAAACCTCCAAGTTCACATTGAAGACTATCAATAGGAGTTGTTCTGAAGACTTCAAAAACTATACGAAAAGCATTGTTCTGAATTGTATTTAATACTTTGTTTGTTGTATTCTCACTGTCAGGTTTTCCTGTGCTCTTTTTTTTTATTTTCCTAACTTTTCCTGTTTCCATTGTTTTTAATTTCTGGTTCCATTATTCAATGCAACAAATATTTTGTTAAAATTAAAATTTCTATTGTTTCAGATAATTCTCCGGGGCTATTAGGAATTCCTCCTAGTAGGTCGAGTAGAGATGAACCCATGGACGATAAGCCTGATAGACCGACTACCCCCGACAGGGTACATCACCTCTACGGCCACGGTGTTTGTAAGTGGCCAGGTTGTGAAAACCCCTGTGAAACCTTAGACGCATTTATAAAGTGAGTATCATGATAAAATATACTGAAATAGTTTTACTAAGTCTTCGACAATGGTGTATCTAAAAATTGTAAATACGTGTTCGCAAAATTTATGGACCTTGGTTGACATCAAATGTTAAATTAATTCTTCAGGAACATTAGAATTAAAGTGTAACAAATCATCCGAATCTTAGATCTAATATAAAAGGATGAGGAACTTTGCTCTTAATGCTTTTAGAATAGAAAAAAGCTTCCTATCTTTGTGAAACGTTTATTAAAAGTAAAATTAGTTATTGTGCTATCACAGCAAATCGTATAAAAAAAAACAAAATACTTGCTGCAAGTTTATTTATGGACTTTGTAAATATGGTCATATTTCAGAGTCGTTTATGGAACTGGGATGGTTAAATATAGAAAAAAATATATCGTATTATTTACTTCATTTTGTCCATAAACTCAAACTTATCTGGTCCTGAATACCTGAAAAATAAATTGGTTTTTTGAACGTAGCCACACAATCAAAATATTATATTATCTATGCCTAGATATACTACCTCTAGTTTTTAACCCTTTGTGGATCAAAAGATAAATTTCTTTCCAAATGAATGAAATTTGCAAAATATGCTGTTTTGGTAAACTTTAGCTAGTGTATATCACAAAAATTCAAAATTTTGAGCAAAAGGCTTCTTTTTGGGTGGAAAATTATTCTCCCAAAGAACACATTGGCTTGTCATCTTCAGAATAGGAATCATCTCCAATATCAGAGTTATTCGGATTTAGTGCTGAAATTTTGTTATTACTATAACAAATCTTTTTTTAACTTTTTTATAATTCCACCTACTGCTTTTTTTAACTCTATATTTTATTCTAAAAATTTTGAGTTCAAAATTAGTGTTGATATTTTTTACAGCTTGTTGATTTTTCTATTTTATTTCTAAATTCAAAAAATCACAACAATAAAACTTTTATTTTATTTTTAAAATTTGTTTTTATAAAAATTAAGAAAGAGGGAAAAAATTACTTACTGTCAAAATATTAAATAACTTACCCAAGATTGCATAATAGTACTTTGTGCAAGAAGAATGAATATGATGGTCATATCACACGAAGACGAAGTTTAAGCACGACGTGCGATACAGATAATCCACTGGAATTATACAGCATATAATTTTTATCTACGACCCACTGAAATCTATAAATTTTAAAAAGGTTATTAACATAAAATTACTATTTTAAAAATAATTTATGACGTTTACTTATTTATAAAGTAAAATAATCTTTTTAAAAAAGATTTTTAACTAGTCCTCAATCTTGGATTTGAACTCCGGACCTTTCGCATAGTATACTACCTCCGTGCTATGGAGACACCTGATCTTTTATTTTTAATAATCATATTAATTTGAGTTTAGATAGTTTTATTAAAATTTACAATTAATCTAAAAATATAGACGAATATCTTGTTGAATGCCATTATTTTATCATTTCTTCAAAGGAATCACTCATTTTTAATAATATTTAATCTCAATAACTAAAAAAATATAGTAACAATTAGTTTATTACAGAATTGTCACTTAAACATTAAACGTTTAAAAAAATAATAGTAACCTGGTGACCAAATAGAAACTGTGATTGGTGGATTTTATATCTGTGCAGTGTACCTATGGCAGATGGCAGACTTTTTGCGTTTTGTAGTCTATGCGTAGAATAGCTAATATCCACGTGGGTGCAGAAAAATATATTTTTTTTCATATTAATATACAGAGTCACCGGTAACGCTTCGATCTGTTGAGCCAAAACTATTTGTTTTTTTTTAAATAATTTCATTTATACAGGGTTGTGCAAGAAAGTGATACATATCAAAGTTAGGTTTTTTTAAATTGGACACTCTGTATTTTAATTTATATTTGAATTGCCTTCGCTTTTCCCATTATAACAATACCAAATAGTATGAGATTATACAGTGTATTTCACACGCTACCGCCAATAATATAGTGCAACAGAAACAATTGAAAACCAATTTTTTTGTGGTAAAATGTTTTCGATATTAGTCAAAATGTACTACTTTTTTTCAATAAGTAACAAATCTCTACAGGGTGAGTCAAAATTCGAATACATAATTTATTTATTTTTTTTTAATTTTATATCACCATTTTAAAGTACCTTAGTTAAAGTTTCATTTAAGTTGTGCAATCCCTACACCTAAAGTTATTAATTTATGGGGAATTTTTAAATTTAAGTGAAACATTAATTTACAAAATAGTTTAATTTTAACTGGCCTCTGGTTAATAGAAAATAGATTGTTTGTTAATTAGTGAATAGAATTTAACCAGCAGTCATTTATTATCGACTAAAAAAGTGTTTAATAATTTCTAATAGGAGTTTATCATTCAGTTAAAAATAAATATCAATAGCAACCAATTCTAGACTCACTCTATTATAATACCTACTTTATTCTAATGTAATGCGAGCCATTTCATTATTGAGTCATGCTCTAATCCTCCAAGTTCCTCTCTATCTTATTTGGCCTTTGAGGCTCAACTTGTCGGATTATCATACATAATTAAACCCCTTAAGACCAAACATATGTGACGAGTATGGCGAAGGCGCGATAATGTTTCTGGTTTTGGCAAGAACGTTTTAGACCACCACCAGAATTTTAAATGTGTATATGAATATTGGTGGAGGAACACGGAGTCAGTCAGCCGTATACAAACAGTTGTGAAGATAAATAGTGATCAATTTAAAGACATTCGAAATATTTAAATTAGAACAGTATTGTTTGTAGATAAATAAGTGTTCAAATAAATTATTAACAAATAAACTGTTGTTTCGTAACATTGGTGTCAGAAGTGTGATTTGGAGGATTAGAGCATGACTGAATAATGAAATGGCTCGCATTACACTAAGTTTTTTATATTTTAAATTGATTTTGAAACCTCAATACTGATAGATCGTTATTACTAACGTCATTAGTGTTGGGATATTTCTTTTCAAAAAAGTTTAGCCAGATTTTAATATGACTTTTAGTCGTGAAACAGAGAAGTCTTTCGAGTGTTACTTAAGAAATGCTTAGAAATGTGAGTTGGGTATTTAAAAAACACCTTTAGATCTCCCTGATTAAATAAAATCTGTCAAAATAACAATAAAGTAATAAGTAAACTCTTCGGTTGCTATTTTTATTTATTTTTTTACTGAATGTAAAAGTCAAATTAGGTATTGTCAAAAAATTATTTAGTCGATAATAAATTATAGCTTGTTAATTTCTAATTACCAATTAACAAACACTCTACGACCTAACCAATGACCAGTTAAAATTAGAGTATTTTGTGAATGATCTGTTTTCTTATTTCACTTTCTTGGAAAACTCTGTATAAGTAAAATTAATTTAAATTGTTGCCTTCTCGGATATACATGTATTTGAATTCACCCTGTACAGATTTGTTACTAATTAAAAAAATGTAGTACAAATGCAAAAAAATGATTTTCAATTGTTTCTTTTGCACAATACAGGTCATTGAAATCAATACTATTTGCATATAAAACGGGTTATAGCGTGTGAAATACCCTGTACATCTTATACTATTTGGTATTGTTATAATGGGAAAAGCTAAGGCAATATTAAATATAAAATGAAATACAGGATGTTCCATTTAAAAAAACCTAAATTTGATATGTATCACTTTCTTGGAGAACCCTGTATAATTGAAATTAATTTAAATTGTTGCCTTTTCTCATATACATGTACCTATTTGTAAACTTTTGACTTTACCTATATTTTTTTTTAAATCATTCATCAGATCAAAAAAAAATATGCTGTTTGAAAGACAATTTAATATGCTTTAATGTTGTCTAATAATTAATTAATAATAGTAATGTTGTTTAATAATTAAAAAATATATATATAGTTAAAGTCAAAAGTTTACAGTGGGCCGATTTCTACAGATCAAGGCGTTACCGGTGGCCATCGTCAATTTTCTAAGAAAGCAAGCAATTCAATAATTTTAAAATTGCAAAACAAATATTTTTGAAAAAAAACAAGAAAGTTTACTGTGATATATATTTCCCACACTGGGAGTTGATCAATGCTGGCGCAAGTAACAAATTAAACTGATTGCCGCGAAGCATATCAAACAGACAATAGAGGACAAGTACTGCACTGCACACCTGCGAAACGTAACCAAAAAGCTTTTAGATAAAACCCTAGTAGGAAATATAGCTCCCAGTACCGTATAAAAGATTAAACTAGTTTCATATGCATGTTGGTAAGCACTTAACATTATTCTAAAAAGTTTACACTCTGGTACATTTTAGCTTAGACTGAAGAACCCAATTTTCTTGCCTACTTTTTTACTCAAATAGACTGCAAAATTAGTAAAGTCCAACTGTGAATAAATATATAATTTCAGTAACACGCTCAATTTCTATATTGTTAAAATGTATTTTAAAATTATGACAAATTAATTTTAGACATGGTCTCGTGATCTATCAACAGTACATTTTATTGAAAAAAAATGCAATATTTCTTCTGTTCTACACCACTGGTCTTTCGCATACAAAATGTTGTTGATATTGGTTGACTAGTCGATACTAAGAAACACCCTGTACGATATTTATGGTCTAGATTTAGCAAAACAAAACATAACATTTATTGATGTAAACCTATAAATTTCCAATTTATCGCCGAAACTATTCGAAAACAGTGCAAAAGCGAGAAACTTAACCGTCGTTTACTCAAAACTTTTCTGTTTATGACTTGAACGCAACGGCTATAAAAACGAATAATTACTTTGTTTTTATTTTATTGTCGCAAATTTGTTTTGAGTAAAACAAAGAAAATTAATAGCTCTCAGCGTCGCTGTGTCATCTCAATGGAGACTTTAACGTCTTTGTGTATAAAATGTTTTCGATATTTACCTGACATATCGTCGTCACAACACATTTCGTATCTAAATATATAAAACTGGGAGGGTAGGCTTAAAACAACAGGCCTCATTAGATTCGTTACCATTGTGTTAGTGGTT